TGGAGATTATCGCCACAGTTAATCACATTCTTAGGAGCAATATTTTAAGATTTTCAATCGTTGAATTTCAGAAAATGGACTGCTAGAAAATTACTCTTGAAATTTTAAGATCTTTATAGCGCAGTCAGGGGAGGCCGAAAAAAAGGCAAGAAATTGATGATTTTTTTTATACATTCTTTGATTTTTTCAAAACGCCTATGCAAAGTCCGAGATAGTCTAGGAGAATGGGTGAAAGATAGGGATTTTTCTAAGATGCATTTTAACACTGGCTCTTATAGAAATTCGGAAAGAAAATTAAAAATAGAAAAAAAGTCGCCATTTTCCGGAAATTCCGCACTTGGGTGGAGCTTTCATGGAGGAATATTAAAAAAATAATCCAAGTGGCCTAGGCGAATTGTTTAGAACAGATAATTAAAAATACTCTTGGAATAGCTACAACGTCGAGGTTAGAAACCATGGAAGGGTAAGCGCGGCAAATACGAATGGCGTTGTGACGATACATTTGCCTATGAGCAGGAACCTAACAGCTGAGTGAATGTTAGGTTCTGCCAACTAGTACCTCGAACGGCACGACGTTGTCACTTTTTCTATCTATATTAATTATTCCCCAATAATTCAAAAGACAAGCTAGAAAAATAAAAGAAGGCTTGAAATATGTAGGAAAAAATAGAAAAGTTATTGAAAAAATATTTCGAACACAAAAATGGTCCAGGTAGATTGAAAATTTGTAATTGAAATATCGTTTTTTTCTGTTCAGCGATTGGTTTCCTGCGAGAGAACAATAGATTCCCCTCCGTCTCACCTCCTACATGGCTACCCCGTCATAAATACTTCAAGTGAAAAAGCTTGAGATTCTTATCTTGGATATTCAAGTAATTCTCGATTTTCAGGTCTATACGGCACTGAGTAACATTAAACATTTTTTAAATTCAGGCAGCAAAGATTTTGAATTCTCAATCTTTTCAAAATTGAGTTGTATGTGATGTTCAGTTTTTACAATGAGTTTGAAAAATCAAACCCGAAAATCGTTAGAATAAAAAACCCGATATTCTTGAATTTTCAAGATGACTGAGAAATTTTGTGAACGCTGCCATTTACAGACATCGGCATAATCGAAATTTTGAATTACAGGTAAATTTGGAATAAGTCAATTGTTAATATTACTCACCAATTTTTTTATTTTAAACATAACCATCAATTTAAATTATTAAATTACTATAAGGTGCAACTTCTCATAATATTACTCAAAGTAATGATTGATACTGATCTATGGTCATTTGAAATTGAATTTAAACTAACAACATCGAAAATTCAGATGAGGCTGTGACTGAAATTTCAAGAAATTTCTAATAGGGTAATCTCAAGCGATTTTTAGCTGATTGGTTTTCTCGCCGAACGGTAGGCGGATTTGTTAGCATTATTTGAAATTAGGATGACCCTCGGTATAACTTAATCGAAAGAGTTAATGAGCCTTTCCCCATGCAATGTATTTTTTGAAACTTTAAATCACGAGAAAAGGAGAGGGTTTAACAAGCTGTTTTTTCTTATTGTACAAAAAAGCAAGTTCACTCGACAAATGTTAAGTCGAAAAAACTGCTTGAAGCTATATGAAAACTATATTTTTTTGTAATGGAAAAAATTATTTTATGGTAGAAAATGTACAATTCATGAATGATTTATGGCTTTCGTTCTCATTTTCAATAATAGCAACTATTCAATCCTGTGTGAATCTCCCTCGAACAATGTGTACTGTTAAATTCCGTTTTCGATTCTGAAAATGTTTTCCAACTGCTCGAAATGGGAAATCAAGTTCAGAATTTAAAAAATTTTAAAAATTCAATTCCTAAGTTTAGTCACAAATCGCATTCATTATACATTTTTACTGATCAGGTGATTGGAATTCATCAATGAATGACGATTATTTCATAATTGTCGTCATAGGTTTGAGAAAGAATGTCATGTAAGATCTTCAGTGGAGACTATACGACTAGATGAAATTTCAGAGATGGTCATTACCAATAGATTTTGGTAATATTATGAAAAGTTATGAGATTATTTGGTGAATCATTCTAATTCTAATCCTAATAATTCTCCCTCAAGAGAAGTGATTAACCAAACATTGAGTGATTAACTAACTAAACAATCATTGTTTCATCTTTTTTTATTACTGAATAATGATTTCATCATCCAACATTAATTGGGATTAAATGAAATTGCCATCCCTGCAAGATTGCCCGTATTTCTAAAGGAGATTCAATAATGAACCTACACAAAATAAATATAAAATTAGTTTTTACTGTTGGAATTAAATAATCGAGGATCATACTCGCCACAGTCAAAATTTACTGTTGAATGTAATAAAAATTGCGAGTCGGTATAGTAGAAAATGGTAGAAAAAAAGTAAAATATAATTTGGCACGAGTAACAATTCGGTGAAGATAAACCCAATTTTCAAGTTGTTTTGGCATGGTCTTCGATTACTATGTTCACATTGGAATTTTTAATTTTATAGTCTCTCCGTGTGTCGCAGGACTAACATAACGCTTACAATTATCGCAATAATTGAAAAAATACTAAATAATTGTCTTCGACAATTGCAAGACTCACGTATAGTAAACGGAGTCACATTCACTCCGAAAATCGAAATTAGTCGTATCCAATCTTCATATTTTTACGTTATGAGATCGATCGGATTTTCAATTTACTTTTGTAATATCTGTCTGGAAAGATCATTTTTCGTAACGGCTTAGTATGTGTAAAGCTCTTGTTTTCTGCATGGCGTGTGGCACTATCGTTCCGGACAGTGAACTTCGACAGATATAACAAAGAATATGTGTTGCACGTACATGTGGAAAAGTACAACTTTACGCTCTTGTAACACAATGTCCTACTTTACACAATTTTTCAGCGGGATTAGTAAATATTCGTTAGGGTGAATTCAAACGTGTATTCATGACAAAAAACTAATTGTTTAATAATTCGAGAACAGGTCCAAGATTGTAGCACTGTGTTCCTCAAAAACTCCAAAAGCATTTCTATCAACGATGTTGCTTAAAGTAGTATAACATAATTTGAATTTTGAAGGTAAAAAACTGAAATAAATTCTAAACGAAAGTTATTCGACATTTTAGTACTATTATTAATAATTAATCGAAAATTGCAAAAATACGACAGACTTTAGTGAGAAAATTAACTTTTCGAAGTTAGGGACAAGATTGAAATCTAAAACAAATCTCGAAAAATGCGAAAAAATGAATGAAAATTCCACATTCAATCTGAAAATTATTGTCAATGTCAAAATTCTGTAATAAATAATTCATGTTTCTGCGTGCCCGAAGTGGCGTCTTATATTCAAACATCCTAGTCAAAAGAGCGACTATTGGTTAAAAAAATAATTGCAGGAAGAATTTGATGAATCGATTTCTTACACTCATCGGAGCTAAAATTTCAGGATAATACTATAAATGATGAATAATTTTTTTTTGCTTTTTGAATTTATTTTTCCTCGTCGCACTCAACGACTCAGGAGTCCATTCATACTACTTTAAGAACAATCTTAGTCTCAATAACGCAATCAAAATGTCTCGATTGAACTCGGCTCCCATTCGATTTTGAGCGGAATCGGTCCAGTAGTTTTCAAATTGCGAGGGAGGAAAACAAAATTTTAATTGAGAAAGGTGATGAAAAAAAAATCACCAAGTCGTTGAAGCGGCTTGTTCAAAGGATCGTGCCCACTTCAACCCACCCGTATCAGCGCACAGAAATTCAGGCGCGAGCGACCAGCAATGCACCTCTGGTTAATTTTATTTTGTCTACATGTTTCGTCATCGGTTTTTTTTCTGTACTCCAATTCTCTTCATTAACGTTACGACAAAAACCCGTCGATTGGACGCCGTTGTATATAGTAACTCCACTGTGAATCAATTCAATTGCAGGAAAATCATTGCTTCCAGCTAGGGTGTTTTCCCTTTTTAATTAAGTAAAAAAGAGGAAGGAATTGTCGTACGACTGATAACAGCAGTGATTCGATCGCAATCCTGAATTCACATAGCTGATGATATATAAACAAATAGGAAAATAAGGCTTTCTCACGGACCACTTCTTTCCGACTCCCTCGTTTTTCATCTGTATACCTTTTCATCGGCAACAATAGAGGGTCTGAAAGACACACTATACCATGATACCCACCTAAAAACCCTCGTGTGCGAAAACGCAATGAGACGTGTATCGATTTTCGGTAACACAATCTTGAGTGGCTCTCTGTTGAGCGATAGTCACCAGTGCGACACTGTTAAGTGCTCGTTTCACACCTACTAGTAGATACGGCTATTAATTCACTTCAACATCGAATCAAGGAGGTATGAGGTATAAAGAGCGCGAATGGAGAGTGGGATGAGGTGATAGTCTCACACTTGCTCCATTAATCCTCCCGCTAACAATGATGATAATTTGTGGCTACTTTGGACGATGATAGAACTGTAAGAGTTGATGGATATAGTGATGCCGCGAGGCGCGAGAGAAACGAGACGATACGAGACAAACGAGAGACATGACGAGACGAGACGAGACGAGAAGAGCCATTCGAGACAATGACAGAAAGGAGACGAGACGAACAAAGCCGGTCGAGAACGAGAGAAACGAGCGGCGAGACGAGAGTCGTGGGAGCCCCCCCTCCCCTTTTCTGCCCTCGGCGTATTTTTTTTCCGTGCAAATTGGATTATAGCCACGAGACGAGATGAGACGAGACGAGACCAGACGAGATGAGAGAATCTCTCAATTCTCGACGAGACGAGAGAAGAAAGTGCTCTTGTGTTGCGATACGAGACGAGACGAGAGAATGGTTTCCTGACAACGAGACAAGACGAGAAGATACAGTTTTTCGTCTCGTCTCATCTCGTCTCGTCGCGCGGCATCACTGGATGGATAATAGAAGTCCTACAAAGTGTGTCGGAGATGTGGTACTAAGAATATTAGTGAATGAATATGTTGAAGATGCTTACCGTGGGTGGAGGTGTGTTGATGAGTTGGACTATGCTGATGATGATTAGAGGATGCGGCAGCACCTGGTAATACATGTTGCGCATGAGCAGTTGCTGGATGTACGTTAATTCCGGGGGATGATGGTAGTTGACCAGCCTGATGCACCTGGTGATGGGCAACGTGATGAGCCGGATGAGGATGTGGAGGTGGTAAGAATGCAGCAGCGACAGCCGCTTGAGCATTCAAGTAGGCCATCCTTGAGGCAGTTAAATTGCCGAGGTTTCCCAAGTTTCCAAGGTGATTGGTCAAACTCGGCATGTAGTCCCATATTTTGTGATGGGGTGTTGTCGGTGCGTAAGAGACCGCTGATACACCCACTGGTGGTGAACTCTGGGGTGAGCCTCGATCTGTACTACTAGAGTTACCTGTACCATTCAGGCCCAGGAGCTCCTGAATCGCGAAAGGCGATCGCTGCGGCATCTTCGGTTCTTTTCTGTATTTTCTTTGGGGCTATTCAGTGTCTCATGGCTCTCATTTTTTCATCTAGTTATCGTCCAGAGATTTTTCTTCAACATTTATTTCTACAGTGTTCTGGCCTTAAGGGATAAAGCTCCTTGTTTACTTTCATCAGTGAATTATTGGCTCACTGTAAGTGACGGGGAAATAGTTGAAAAATATTTTTTTTCTAACCAAATAGTACCTTGTATGTCAACATGAACGGTTCTCTATTGTAATGTCTACAGCGACGGCCTGTGGCTGAGGATACTTGAGCTCTTTCTCATATTACCATCCGACGGTTCGGGCTTCTCAGTCTGTACTAGCTTCAAGTTTTTTCTTCCATATTTCCAAATTCAATATGCTTTATATTTTAGAATGGTGCTTAATTCAGTAGACATTGGAGGCTGTTTAGCATTGAACCTTTCGATATCGAGAATGATTTGCCAAGGTGTGATTTCCACGGGGGATTGATGTGTTTTTCATTAGACGACGGCAGCCTCAACACCCGCGCAAGCCAATTACGTGAAATTATCGTCACCTTCGGCAAATAAATGTTTGAATAATTAAATGACAGTCGTCAATTGAACATTTTAACTGACTTGATCATCCTTTAATGGAAATTCTACACAAGAACGTAATGTTTGGGAGATGGATCACGTAATGTTTCAATGGCAGAGCCTTATTTGTTTATGTAATCCACTAAAACAGTTAAAAATTGGGGATGCAAAGAGCCAAAAGAGATGACTGATGTAATTTTGTATAAACGATTATTTGTACTCACTGAAAGGTCCTCGTATCGTATTGCAGGCACAGAACCTTCAGTCTTCTAGAAGATTTGTTCTTCACCCTTCAACCCTTCGCACTCCTTTTCTTTTCACTCTTTGAGAATAAACACTTGTTTTTTTTCCACTGATCCACTGGATAATTTACCATAATGCAGAGTTCTCTCAATAAATTCGAGGAATATCTTCATTTAGAACGAGGAATTAACAAAACATTTTTTTCACAATTCGCAACAGTCAAAGTTGAATATCAGAAAAAAAAACAATCTGATAATTATTATATCACAATGTATTGTTACACGATCTTCAAAAATACAATTCACTTATTTCACGGAACTAGGGGAATCGAGTGTTTAGAAATCCGCGCGATCCAATGATCATAACAGATAAGTGGAAGCTCACGCGAAGAAGAGAATAATTGAATAAGTTCATAAATCCAATGTTTTTTTGTTTTAATTGATATAAAGCCCATGTGTCGTGTAACCGTGTCGTCGTCGCGGCGATCGGGAACTGAATCGTTGATAGGGGTGACTCGTGGAAGGAACGTATGACAGAAAGCAGGGGGTACTACCCGCCGGGGGTATAATGCGAAGGCTGCAGATGTAGCGGAATGAGCTTCGAGTGAGCGAAAACGGAGGGCGGTGGGCAGGACCCACCCTCCCACAAGTTGTTAGATTAAAGAATGGTAGGTGGGGTAGGGGGATGCCGTCTACCATCAAGTGCTGTACAAAAAAGGCAGTGCGTTGCCCCGTCGTGGTATTTCATCCCCGCGACAGTGGCCGTCTCGCATCGCGGATTGGTCGGTTTTTTGAGACTTCCATCTGGGTAGACATAGCCCTAGTTAGCGATGGGAGTGTCAACTGGAATTGTACACGCCCGTAATGGGCAACGCCTACAGGAGACCGTTTCACACAGGGTAAATTTTTTGCTATTGGAACTATCATTTGTAATTGTTGAGAGTTTTGTATTGCAAAGACTTGAATAATTTTGAAATATTAAACTCTATTTTTCATCAAAAAAAGATTGAGGGGAGATGGAATGAGATTTCTCATACATTGAAGATCGAATAATTAGTACAAAAAAAATTGTTTATTGTTCGTTTACTTCACAGTCTCCAATTTTTGAGCTACAGACTTTTTTTTTCACTTTTGAAAGAATGTGTGCAATAACAATTGGGTATTCGTTTTTTGAAATTCAACTCCACAGCTAATTTCGTAATTTTTTGAATAAAAATTTGCACCATTCGTGTAAAATAGCCCGAACAATTTTTCTGGAAGAATAGAGAATATATTGTAAATATTTTACAGATGATTCTTCTGCCTTTTTTTCACGAATGAGGCATATTTTTATATTAAACAAAACGAAATCAGCTATGTGGGAGTCGAATTGAAAAAATAATAATGCGTAATTGTTATTGTACACATTCTTTCAAAAATTTTGAAAAAAAATTAACCTCTGTAGTTAAAAAACTGGAGACCCTGGACTATTTTTAACATTTTAAGCGTCTGCGGGGCGAATGAACAATAAACAATTAATTTTTTCGCACTAATTATTGATTTTTAGACATATATAATCGACCTTCAATCCATGAGAAATCTCACTCCCACAGATGCAACGGTTGTTTGGAGAAAATATTTGTTAATAAATTGGAAATTACAAAAGATTAATTTCATATGATCGGACGAAAATGACTTTGGTGCAGTGTGAAACGTTCTGTCCTTTGAAATGTCCGTTAATGATGTGGGAGTGGTCTATGTATGAGCCAATCCCGAAGCGCTACTTTCGACCCTCATTGGCTGGTGCGCAAGTCGATTTATCACTTATCCTCCTAGCCACCGACATACGATTCTCGCCCTTATTTTCAGTGCACTTTTAAGGGTGACTTTTGCTTGCATCGAAATTCTCTCACACTGCTAATTCAAAATAACGGGAATTGGGAGTAGTGGTAGAGATGAGCGAGAAAAGGCCAGATCAAGGGATGAGGGGGTGAGGAGAAGAGGTATAACTAAATATGTGATGCTTAAACAATTTGTCGAAATATTATTTTTTATTTAGATTTTTCAACTTCTGGTATGGTATTTTTTTGAATTTGCATTGCCTGTGACGAACAAGTGAATCTAGAGGATGAGTTTTAGAGGAAATAAACTAGTGTTTTTTTTGTGTAACTGCAATTTTTGGGCTTGATTAGCAATCGAGGATGCACTATGGATTGATTTTTCGTTGAGTGGAAAGGAAAATATATTTTTCTCATGCTTCAAAAGCCTAAAGGATTACTATCTTTCTGTAAAGTGTCTTTGAATGCTAGTATCCTTATAGAACCTAATTAGAACAATGTTAATTGCACGAGGATATGGTGGAACCCTTAGTTTTATCGAAAAACAAGTATGCCAAAATATTTATTTGAAACTAATTGTTTTAATTTTTTGATTGAGAATCTTAGTTACACATTGATGAAAAAATATCATTCTGCCAATCAAATTTATTTGCGACAAGAATTTATAGTAAGGTTTTGTGTAAAAATTTTGGGCATTTGTTTGTCTGAAATACATGTGATTGGCAAGATTATATATTTTTTTAATGAAAGCTTGAATTTCCAAACTCGTTGTAAAAATTGAACATCACATAAAATTCAATTGTTAATAGATTAAGAATTCACAAAAATTGTTGCCTGAATTTTTAAAATTTTCAAAAAAAAAATATCTATTTTATCGAGAATTACTTGAATATTCGAGAAATTAACTGATTCGTCAATGAAGAAATAGTCAAAAATCTCATATAACTTTTTTGTTCTTAACGATTTCAAGCTTTTTCACACGCACAGAAATTTTTTAGAAAAATAGTGCTAGTACGGGAAAAGAGGGGTAAAGTGACAGCTAGGAAAATATTCCAGTTTCACTGAAATCCCCAGAAATTTTACCAGAAATACCAAGAAATTTTACCTTAACAGCACTTGAATTTTTCATAGCGGGTGAATTGTAATTTTTTCCAGTACTCGTACTAGAATTTTTCTAGAAAATTTCTCTCCGTGCACTTAAAATTTCAAGGGTCATTTTCTAAAAGGGTATACTTATAGTTTTGCTCGAATTAATCTCTTTTTGATAATTATATACCTGAAGAGTGAACTCATTGTTCTAATCCAATGTTTCTTCATTTTGTTTCATCATTTTTGGTGGGTAATTGTTGTTTACCTTCTTCCCCACTTGAGAATTATATATGATAAAACAAGTGTTATTGAAGCAAAATCCGTACACGGAAGACCAAAATTATAATTAATTTGAAAACGAGTGATGCCTATAATCGAATGTTTTCACAGATATTTGATACCCGGATTGCCAGACATGAGTGTTATGTGTGGCAGAAGAGGTCCTTTTGTGATGGAAATATTTTAATATTGTTTTCTTACACAAAGAAAGAATGTTGAGAATTTTTTTTCTATTCAGACATTCCAAATGCGATGCTCTCACATGAAGGCTAAGAGGTGATGAATGAGTTAGCATTCATGTCATAACAGATAGGATAAGGATTATATAATCACAAGTTCTAGCCTTGGGCATTGAAAGGTTTGTAAAATGTAGTTACAATTACAAAAATTTGTTAGTGTCTATCATTCTATGAAATTGCCATTGTTGAAACTCATTCTGTCGATTTAATATTGAGAAATTGATTTTATTTATATAAATTAGTTATCTGTGTCTTACTTTTTATTTCCATTTTTTCCTTAAGTTTTTTCCACACAACTTGAAGCCAGAGATAGTTAAAAAAACTTGACAAAAGGGGAGAGTGGAGCAATATGGACAATTATGACTTCCCGAGTCGAATATTAAGACCTGAATTTCCCCTTGAACACCTATCATGAGTAGGAGGACCAGGATGAAGTTAGGGTGTATTTACCTTCAGAAAGACCCCCTGGTTTTCGCCTGAACGTGCGAGTTATTTCCAAATTCCAAGGGTTCAGGAGGAAAACAGGAGGCGTGTTAAACCTATTTATCGCTTGCACCCCCTAAAATGTTTTCCACTCCATCCCTCCTAGAAAGAACCTACAAACCCTTTCAAGGTATTTTTTTATTATTTTTAATTATTAACATGAGAAGTACGGGTGAAAATTAAGGTCATACTCAAGGGTCATATAATAAGGGTCAAAAATAACGATCAGCAACGACAGTCAAAAATAAGGGTGGGAATTTCAGTAATTTTCACCGCAAACAGAAATGAACAAAATAGTGAGCTACTCAATCATCCTGGCTATCAGGGTTAATTCAGGGGATTTATGATTCCTTTTCATTCGACAGGAGGAGAAGGGGAAAAAAGTATCAGTTGAGAA